GATGTGAGAACCAGGAGAGGAGCTGACGTAGCTTCAGATCACCACCTAGTTGTAGCCAATTTAAAAGTGAAGCTAAAAAAGAACTGGACAAGTGGACAAACAGCACTACAAAGGTTCAATACAGCCTTCCTTCGAGATACTGACAAACTTAATGAATTCAAGATAGCTCTCAACAACAGGTTCCAAGCCTTTCAAGATCTACTGAAGGAAGAAGAAACTACCATGGAGGACAACTGGAAAGGCATCAAAGAAACATTGACTTCAACGTGTCAAGAGGTTCTGGGCCTAAAGAAACACCATCATAAGGAATGGATCTCTATAGAAACACTGGACAAGATCAAAGAAAGGAAGAACAAGAAGACAGCAATTAACAACAGCCGAACACGAGCAGAGAAAGTCCAAGCACAAGCTGGATACATAGAAGCAAACAAACAAGTGAAGAGGAGCATTAGAGTCGACAAGAAGAAATACGTTGAAGAACTAGCAACGACGGCAGAAAAAGCTGCTAGAGAAGGAAACATGAAACAGCTTTACGATACAACGAAGAAACTATCAGGGAAATACAGTAAACCAGAGAGGCCGGTCAAAGACAAAGAAGGCAAGCCAATCACCGAAATTCAACAACAACGTAACAGATGGGTAGAATACTTCGAGGAACTCCTGAATAGGCCGGCTCCAATGAATCCACCGGACATCGAAGCAGCACACATAGATCTTCCTATAGATGTCAATCCACCAACTACGGAAGAAATTAGAATGGCCGTCAGACAAATCAAGAACGGGAAAGCAGCAGGACCCGACAACATACCAGCTGAAGCACTGAAATCAGACATCGAAACAACCACAAGCATGCTTTATCTTCTATTCAAAAGATTTGGGAGGAGGAACAAGTGCCGATGGACTGGAAAGAAGGACACCTCGTCAAGATTCCAAAGAAAGGAGATCTGAGCAAATGTGAAAACTACAGAGGCATAACACTACTGTCAATACCAGGGAAAGTCTTCAACAGAGTGTTGCTGAACCGGATGAAGGATGCAGTAGACGCCCAACTTCGAGATCAACAAGCTGGATTCCGTAAGGATCGGTCGTGCACAGACCAAATTGCAACACTACGGATCATCGTCGAACAATCAGTTGAGTGGAACTCATCATTATATATCAACTTCATTGATTATGAAAAGGCATTCGACAGTGTAGACAGGAGGACGTTATGGAAACTTCTTCGACACTACGGAATTCCTGAGAAGATTGTCAATATAATCCGGAACTCATACGACGGACTACAGTGCAAAGTAGTGCATGGAGGACAGCTGACAGATGCATTCCAAGTAAGGACCGGAGTCAGACAAGGCTGTTTACTCTCTCCCTTCCTTTTTCTCCTGGTGGTCGACTGGATTATGAAGACCTCAACATCTGAAGGAAAACATGGAATACAATGGACAGCTCAGAATCAATTAGACGATTTGGACTTCGCAGATGACCTAGCCCTCCTATCACGTACACGTGAACAGATGCAGATGAAGACAGCCAGTGTAGCAGCAGTCTCTGCATCAGTAGGCCTCAGCATACACAAAGGGAAAACGAAGGTCCTCAAATTCAAAGCGGAGAACAGCAATCCAATCACTCTTGATGGCGAAACTCTGGAAGATGTAGAATCCTTCACATATCTGGGAAGCATCGTCGATAGACATGGAGGTTCAGATGCAGACGTAAAGGCGAGGATTGGCAAAGCAAGGGTCGCATTCCTACAATTGAAGAACATATGGAACTCAAAACAACTTTCAACCAATATCAAAGTGAGAATCTTCAATACGAACGTCAAGGCAGTTCTACTGTATGGAGCTGAAACTTGGAGAACTACAACAACCACAATCAAGAAAGTACAAGTATTTATAAATAGCTGCCTTCGCAAGATACTCAACATCCATTGGCCGGATACCATCAGCAACAGCCTTCTGTGGGAGAGAACAAAGCAACTTCCAGCTGAAGAGGAAATTAGGAAAAGACGATGGAAATGGATAGGACATACATTACGCAAATCGTCAAACTGCATCACGAGGCAAGCCCTAACTTGGAATCCTGAGGGGAAGCGAAAAAGAGGAAGGCCAAAGAACACATTGCGTCGGATAATAGAAGCAGATATGAAAAGGATGAATTACAACTGGGAGGAGCTGGAAAGTATTGCCCAGGACAGGGTTGGATGGAGAATGCTGGTGAGCGGCCTATGCTCCTTCACGAGGAGTAACAGGTGCAAGTAAGTAAGTAAGTACAGCAGAACTGTCTTGACATTCGTATTCAGGATTCTGACTTTGGTGTCGGTTTACGGTTGTCTTCAGTCTCCCAAATTATTCAATTGAGGGAATGATGTACTTGCTTCGCCAATCTATGCCTTTGCGTCTGCATCAGATCCTTATCGCTTGTCGATGATGTTGTCCAGATACGTAAAACTTTCCACCAGTTTCCGAACTTCCCCATCAAGTGTGATTGTGTTGGTGTTCTCCGCGTTGTATTTCAGGATCTTGCTTTTCTCATTGTGTATGTTGAGGCCTATTGCTGCGGAAGCTTCTGCTACACTGGTTGTCTTGTCCTGTATTTGTTCATATGTATGGGGTAGATGAACCATATCCAAATCTTCTAGTCTCATCCAAGCTGTCCCTTGTGTCATATGCTTCCCCTCAGATGAGGAGGTATTCATGATCTAGTCAACCACCAGAATAAACTGTGAAAACGTTGATGCTCCTGTTTGATCTCCACAGTTGCTAGTTCCAACCCATAGACATTGAACATCTTGATTCATCTGAAGTTTTTGTAATCCCATCAAACCGACCCTATGTATACCATTATCGACTTAACTACACTTCTCAGATGCTAGTTCTATTTTCAAAAGCTGACACCCATGATACCATGAAAGGCCGTTATCATGTGTACATCTATCGATCTGGTGAGATGTCTGTTTGTAAATTGGCTGAGATCATGCCAAAAAATATTTTTTCACAAGGAGATTGTGAATATTCCAATTTTTGGAACGACACATTTCTGGAATGGAGTCTCTGCTCTTGGCTCACACAATCTTCAATTATTAAAGAATTCAACGTATGATTCGAATTAAAGCTTTAAGAAAAGGAGGTTGAAATTTCCTGAACATGGAATGGTACCAGTTCTTACTTATAATCAAGTAAATAAATGGAGAAAATGAAAGTCAATACTATGAATGAGTGAATATTGGAGATAGGCAAATGTATTAGACGATTAAGAGAATAAACGTGGAATGTGTGTATTATTATTATTGACTGCTGTCCTCCTTCTGCATGTTTATGGGTTGGTAAATGGTTATTACGCGATTCGTTTGAGAGAAGTATCAAGACGTTTTGCTACAAATGCACAAACCGTTTTTTGTGTAAATATATGATGACAAGGAATATTACGCCCACATCACATGAGTTGGTAAATAAATACTTTAGCGATAATGCTTTATTCCCAATGGTAGATTCTCGGTCAAATTATCAGCAACTTATGCGGTTGCTGTCTAACAGATGCTAACGGGTGGTTATTCTTGTTGTCGATCTATTGGGGGATTTATAGTTTGTAACTTCGTTTAATGTCTCGAACTACATAGGTTATGCTTACAGTGGGACTCTTTTTGTGTCGTGTTTAAAGTTCCCCAGGCGTCGTGCCCATCTGTGAGGTTATACCGAGATCCTGCTGCTGATATCAACATCTGTATTATTTACTACACAGATAAAGTTTGAACGGTTGGACTGATCTGCTGCAACCTCACACCAGATCTTTTTGAAGCTGCAGTAGTGCAGTGGACTTTGTTTCTAGGTCCCGAATAAAGATTGTTCTTAGGGCTTGTTATTCACGAAGATATGGAAACGTTTTGTTGATGGTATACCGTAGACTGTTGCCATGTCCATTTCGTACTAGCTCAACCACTTCAGAATTTTCCTTTATATTCCCACTTTTGAAATATCTATTTCATTTACTTAACTCCTGCAGCTCTTCTAGGGCCGCTGTCCGTTCGAAACTTGGGTAAATGAAGGAGGCTTGGCGTGAGGTCATTAACCACATATTAACACTAATTGCAACCGGAGTGTCAAAAACCTGAGCCGTCATGACACGGAGTAAAAATAATGCAGGACTAGTGATAGTATCTTGAAGCATGCCACATTTACCGACGTCCATACAGAGAGTGTCCCATTTGCCTTAACTGTCTTCTACCACAGTAGGTTTTTTGCTAAGTCTTGTAAGTGCCTGTTGTTTTTAAGTTGAAAAGCTTTTTCATTAGCCCAAAGGAGACATCTTTTCAAATACTTTGATGAAATCTACGAATATCAAGCCGGTTTACAAACTGCTATCTTAGGCCACTGTAAATTCTCCCTTGAAGTTAGTATGCCGACTAAGAACTCTGATTACAGAACCTGTGTTACTCCGAAGCGAACAGATTATAGGATTCCATACAGCTTTGTCAATACTTAAACTGCGATGCTAGTAAAACTGACAAGTGTGTATTAAGATGTTTTATATCTCTCTTCTCCTAAGAGCTAATCATCTGTGAGACTATAACAAGATGATTTACAAGTTTACGTTCGGAAAATTCAGGGTGCCACTCTATCTTCCTCACAGAGTTTCCTTCGAACGAGTGATATCATCTCCACAGATGAACATGAAATCTTTCTCGACATTATGTCTCGAGCTACCAGTTTCGGGGAAGATTTAACCCATTTTGAGGGAGCCGCTATGGTAAACTTTGAGGAAATCTTTCGAAATTCTCCTTTAACTTTGTTGAAAGTCATTTGACTTTGGGGATTTCCCCAAACTTGGGAGATCGGAATCAGTTGATAATGGAATTCCGATTTATTTATACTAATCCACATGATTCTGAGTTCGTCTTCTCTATTTTAAATGGTTCAGCAGTATGCTTTCTATTAACTCAACTGACCAACTAACCCCATTACTGAGATTAAATATTGAAAATATCTCGGGCGCGTAACTCGTTGGTCGTTACTTATGGTATGTTGGTTGTGAAGTTGGTTGGTCGTGAAGTTATTTACCCTCTTCCACACTGTATGTATTCATAAGCTTTATCAAGAGATAAACATAACAACCTTTTATTAGTGAGCCGCCGTTATAAATATTTTTTGTGTACTTAGCCTTTAAAGACCATTTCAACAACAAATGTTATTGGTGAATCGTTCAGGCAACCCGGGTTGACAAATTCACCTTAGGCCCGTTTTTAGAAGGAGATTTTTCTGTCTCATGGAGGGAGTCTTATTGGTACTCTTGGTGGAATGAAAAGTAGTGGATGCTTTTTGAATTTTACTCATATTTGAAAGCAAATCAGTCGGAAGCAACTTTTAGAATAAAGCAGTAGAAAACATGCCCACATTGACGGGAATCTAGGACATATACAAAAGAAATATAACATAATTAATAAGGCTAAAGAGTTGACAATTATGAGTGTAGAAGGTTTTGTTTCCGGCGTCGCTTTTGGTGTCCGATCTGTATGGCCTCTGACATCTACCATCACGTAGATTCAGCCTGGTAGGGTATTTCAGCACACCGTCAACGGTCATTCAATCAATGTAATGTATACCCAAGTTTGTTTAATATTAAATTATCACCGTATCCTCGCAATTTTTATGTTGCCAAGTCTTGAGTCAGTCTGTACAGGTGTACTGGTGTTAAATCATTCTACCCCGACTATTAGATTTTGGAATGAGAAACGAAATTGCGATTATTTCGCTTTTTGAACATTTCACTAGGAAAATTTCGATCCGTTTATGTTGAAATATTCACATTTCCAGTATATACCCCATTCCTTCGTGAATCTGGTTACCAGCAGTGGAGCTTCGCAAGGAGTAGGTATATGCTTTCAAGTCCTAATGCTAATTCTTCCCAGTGATAATTTAGACCAAGGTCTTGTTCACTGGCAGATAGTTTTCACTATTTACATCCAAATATACTCTGAACAGTGATTTCATTAAAAGCATTGCATGCTATTGATTTCAAGACTTTACGTAGAGACGTCAATCGGTTGTTGTAACGCATGATATTTGCTGGATTGTGATTAAATATATTTTAATCTGTTACTGGCCCTGCCATTTTATCTAACAAGGGTTTTTTGTGGTAACAATAGTTTCTGAAATAAGAAAACAATCCCCTCCGGCTGTCTATTTAATTGTTCCTTAGCTTGTAGGCTGGAGAGCGGCCTATGCTCCTTCACGAGGAGTAATAGGCGTAAGTAAGTTGAAGACTTCTGATTTTGTGGTTATATTCATATATTTCGTATGGTTCATAAGCCCGTTTCCAAGTCACTGCAAAATTTTTAAGATTATTCCATGTGGAAATTTCGGGATCTTTATGACTAATCTGCTTGTGGGAAACGTTCATACGTACGTTGTTCTCTTCATGTAGATCAAACACTGATTGAAGGACCATTCTGAGAACTTCCGAGTAACCAGTCCTTAAGTCGGTTGTCTAACAAACTTTGTAGTTTATTCATGGCTGCTCTTTATTGGAGCATATTTTCAAGGTTGGTTCACTGATGTTTGTCGCTTAGTAAATATTAGGTTTCGTGTTAATTTTAATCATTTCAAATGCTTGACTGCAACACCGTCCAGATCAGCGAATACAAAGTTAGCCGTTTATCTTAAAGTTTTGTATTTTAAGACAATTAAAACACCCCAAAAGGAAGGGCGATAATCTGGAATCTGTTGCTACATCGGGTGGTGTGTCTGAGTAAGTTGCTTTTTTTAATGATTTACTCTATAGCTATGCAAAATCTGCAAACATCGTAAAGTCAAAGTATGTCAGAGCTGTTTTGTTATATCAGTAACTTTTGACGGACAATTTTAGGGATCTGCTTGGTGATTTTATTAAAGAATATCGTTTTGGTAAGTCTGTTTTCTATTTTTAATTGCGACTTCATGCAAGGTAATGACGCACCATCAACAGCATTTGTCGATCTTCCTTCACCGGCTAATGTAAATATTTTTACTCATCAAGATGGTAGGTGATCTTCAGATCTAGTTAATGTTTAGTCCTACCTGCTGATTCTTGTAACTCATTAAACCCCATTTTTGATGCCGTTGAGAATTTGGAAGCCTCAATTTTCAGTTGTGGTCTTCCAAACAACCAGTTCGAAGAATGGTTAAAGTGGACTGTCGAAAAGAAAATGTGGAGTTTTCCGATCAATAATGAACAAGGTATATAGATTTGTTTCGTGTGAATTAAAATAACCGTTTATGATGAGTCCATTCCTTTAAGGTATCCTAACTTCTTGGCATGTGGTATGGTTACGGTCAAGGAATATAGACCATGTGACACATAAATCCTAATTCACTTTTCGACTCTAGTAACCTGTGTGCGAATGCCCAGCGTTTTTCATTAATGTCGCTTAGCATCCTGTAAATAAGGTCGTGTAAAAAAATAGATCATAGAGTGATGACTGCATATATATAACTGTAACTTGAGTAGTATTGTACTAGTTTCGCATACTTAATTTGTCTTTAATGAAAGTTTCCAGAGTTCAAGCCTGCAGAGTAAAGTTTTAGAAACTTCTATTGAAAACATTATGCTTGTGAACTTGAACTGATATACGTACATACGAAATTCCACGTTGTTACTGACTGACTGAAGCCTGCAAAATCTGGATGAACTCAAAATCTGTTTTGGAGAACTGTTTCTTCAGTTAGAAGTCAGTAAGTGGAAGTTTCCATGAATCATCTGATTTAATGCTGTTTCATACCTTTTTACTGTACTGTTCTTCAGTAAATTATTTAAGCTCTTGTTTGACAACACCCTAAGAACCAATATCTCTAAGCTTAGGCATTTAATATTCTAGAAAATCAACACTGGCTAGCTCTCCATAAGGATAGTTCGTTCTGGAAAAACAAGCTTGTTATTAAAATGGCCGTCGTAAATATATATAAGAGCAGTGGAATAACTTATTACAAACTAAACATTGTCGAATATTTCCTAGAATCACATTTTCCTTGTAAGGTTCGAAATATTCACGTGAGTTGTCCATCAGGGTTGATGTGAAACTTCTAATCAAAATTAATGGGATTCTGCCGACTACCAACCCTAGTTATATTTTTTAACTTTGAGACGGTATTCAACTCCCTAAATGCACAGGTTTTATAGCACTTTGTAGTTGAAAATGATACCAGAGAAGTTCATAGACCCTGTCCAGGCTTCGTCTTCAAACAATAGTGGTCAGATCAGAGTTTATTGTGGGTTGTCATCAAAATTGAAAACACCAACATCAACAACTCAATCTACTAAAAATCCTTGCCTTATTTGTATACTTTACAGATTGGGATTCCGAGTTAGACGTACCCTTTTATGAACATGTATTTCTGGAGAATCATCTAAACAAGGAACATCTCAAATGTAAACCATTGGCATCGTTCTTGGAACTTGTCTGCACTGGTCTTTCGAAAAACCCATATTTTAGTGTTGATGATAAAAAGCAACATCTCGAGTGGTTCACACAGTTCTTTGACGATAAGATAACGCGAATAAACGCTTCCATAAAAGAAGAACATATGGCTAATTTAGAGGAAATTTCTAGAGGAACTTCGACAATCTATTAATTTTTACTTTTCAAATAAACCATTCCCTAGGAAAATTCTTAGAACTTTTTATGTTTTACAATAATGATTTGCTAATTACTTTATAATTACTATAAACGTCAGTGTACATATTCAGACTTTTAATTGGTAGAATATATGTGTCGTAGTCGTTATTAAACATGAATATTCCCAGTTTTATTGTCGAAATACTAGTTAAGGACTTTTTTCCTAAAGTGACGGTCCAAAATCAAACTCTCGTTTAGGTGTATCAAATGAAGCTATATTTATTCTAAACTGACCTGTTACCGTGGCTTTACGTTAATGTGTCCATTTCCTACTGGGTAGTTAGTATAGTAATATGTTATTGAATAGAACTGATTAATTTGTAATTAATTGCACTGGCTGAGAGATCAGTTTTTGAATTAAGAGAAAAAACGACCATCATACAAAGCTTGGAGATTTTAGATGACACACGAAAATCGGTTGCGATTTATTATTTATTTGAACACATACATATTGGTACAAGAGAGCGCCAATATGTATGCGCCACACAAAACGATGAGAATTTGAAGAGAAAGAAGAAAAAAAAGATAAGGAGCGTGAAAAAAAGAACAATAACGAAGAGGTTGATGTAAGGTAGTGTAGTAATAATCATAGTAATAATGAGGGAACGGAAAGGTACAATCAAAAGAAATCTTTCAGTTAAAGGAGACACAACCACCTATTATGAAGAAAGTACAAGAAGGTTACAGCAGGATCGCCACTGGCTTCTATACTGAGCCATATCTGATAACGTCTCTAGCCACTGTGTAGCACCATCTCTCGGACCCCAACCAGGGAATCGCGAAGGACCTTTGCAGCTTTCTTTCGTACCACGACACCATGTCATGCACTGACCACTTCTCCGCCTTTTCCAACCAGTCCCAGAGTCGGCAAATAATGCACGACGTGGAACTCTCTGGGACGACATTCGTAGAACATGTCCAAGCCACCGAAATCGATATTTCGAGATGGTGACACCGATTGAATTATCATCTCTGTACCCGAACACAAGATGCTGAACCTCTGCATTACTGACATGGTGTTGCCACTGAATGTCAGCAACCCTTCGGAGACAGCGATCATCGAACACAGAGTCGTCTAACGTCCTTAACTCGGAGAAGTCAGGTTTCACAAGCATAGAGCAAGACTGTTCTCACCGACGCGTTGTAGATCCGACCTTTTACAGCCAGACTAACATCACGAAGGCACCAAGGGTGGCCCAGATTGACATAAGCCGCTCTGGCTTTCACCATACGTGCATTGATCTCATCACTCACACCCCCACCAGCACTTATGCAACTACCCAGATACACGAACTTCTCGACTACTTCTATCTGCTCACCATCCAGGGTGAGTACAGGATTAGAATCCTGCCAGTCTTGTAGAAGTACTTTGCGCTTCGAAGGTGCAAAGCACATACCATACCTACGGACACTGATTAAGTGCGGATTGCATGCCTTGGGCATTATCGCACAGTAAGACAATATCATCCGCATACTCAAGGTCGAGAAGTCCTTCTCCAGGCAACAGACCCACACCGCCATTACTTACATCCATCAGAGCTGTTTCCAGAATGTCGTCGATGGCAAAGTTGAGGAGAAATAGTGAGATTGGGCAACCCTGCCTAACCCCACTGATTGAATGGAACAATGGAGAAAGGTGGTTGTATGCCCTCACTCTACCCCAGGTGTTTGTGTATAGGGCTTTTAGGATGTTAATAAACTTCTCAGGCACACCCTTCTTCAACAGACAATCCCAGAGAACAGTCCCGTTCAACTAATTGAAGGCAGCCCTGATGTCAAGAAACACTTCGATTGTTGGCCTGTGATAAGTATGATGGTGTTCTAACATTTGGCGGAGGGTGAAGATATGATCAATACATCCTCGACCAGAACGAAACCCAGCCTGCTCCTCGCGAGTCGATCTTTCTCGGGTTTTGAACAACCTACGAAGTATGACGGAAGCCAATAGTTTGGACGCAATCGGAAGTGGACTTATCCCCCGATAGTTGTTACAGGAACGACGTGAACCATTTTTAAAGATAGGGACAACTATCGACTCATTCCATGACGTTGGTACACTCTCTAGCTCCCAAATCTTTGTAAACGTCGTCAATTCCTTAGCCAGAAAGCCGTCCCTCCCCACTCTCGGCCGTACCAGGCCTTTTGGGGGCAAAAAGCGGATGTCGCTGCCAGCGAACACCATTTGATTTTATTAATCTGCCCAAAATTTTGATCAAGTTCACTTAGGTGTTGCAAAGAGCTACTGCATAATTCACTTAAAGGTTGGATTTTCTTGTTAGTTGCTCATAAGTTAACAAATCCCATATGAGTACAAAAATTTAAATTCAAACAGCACAAGGGGTTCTTTGTATGTCACCTTGGTTTACCACGGAGTGAAACATTAAGTAGAGGTTTGCCATACGAAGCAGGTTATTATGTTTTTCTGACGATTACAACTCACTAGTCGGATAAGATAGATACCAGTGCTTTAGTAATATTTAGTAGACATATATGTGAGTCATGCAGACTAGTATTACGTAACGAAGGTCTCTAAGTAGGCCACGTAAGTCAACTTAGTATCTAATATGAGAAGCAAGCCAGGATACTTTCAGGAAGATGGGTTGAGAAAAAACAGTTATGAGAATTAGAGTTTTTTAATGTGGCTTGAAGTTATTTTCACAAAAATGCAACCGCCAGTTGAGTTCTTGTCACTCGCTTAACAACTCAATATTGGAATGTTTCTGAAGGGGTTTATCAGTTTCTGCGTGTGCTGGTGTTGAATGAAACTCCGGATTTAATCGGTTTTACCACCTTAAAGCACCGACTTTCTGACTGAGAAATGTCTTCATCTGGAGCATATGATATTCAACAACAAAGGAAACCAGCTGTATTTATTAGTGCGAAATAACAAAAAGAAACAAAAACTTCGGATTGATGTCCAAAAACTGATAGAAGTTACCAAAACAACTATTGATCCTCCGATTTACTGCTAAGGTGTTGAAAACCTACCTACTTACGCCTGTTACTCCGAATGGAGCATAGGCCGCAGACCAGCATTCTCCAACCCACTCTGTCCTGGGCCTTCTTTTCTAGTTCCATTCAATTCGTGTTCATTTTTCTCATGTCTATTTCCATTTACCGGCGTAATGTGTTCTTTGGTCTTCCTCTTTTCCTTTGACCTTCAGGATTCCATGTGAGGGCTTGTCTTGTGACGCAGTTGGGTGCTTTCCTCAATGTGTCCTATCCACTTCCAGATTTCTTCCTCCGCTGGGATCTGGTTTGTTCTCTCCCACAGTACGTTGTTGCTAATAGTATCCGGCCAATGGATCAGAAGTATTTTGCGTAGACAGTTGTTAATAAACACCTGTATTTTCTGGATGATAGCTTTTGTAGTTCTCCAGGTTTCTGCCCCATACAGTAGAACTGTCTTGACATTTGTATTGAAAATCCTGACCTTGGTGTTGGTTGACAGTTGCTTTGAGCTCCAGATGTTCCTCAGTTGTAAATATGCTGTTCTTGCTTTGCCGATCCGCGCCTTCACATCTGCATCAGATCCACCTTGTTCATCAATGATGCTGCCCAAATACGTAAAGGTTTTTACATCTTCCAAATCTTCTCTGTCAATTGTGTCTGGATTGGTGCGTGTTGTGTTGTATCGGAGAATCTTGCTTTTCCTTTTGTGTATATTGAGACCTACTACTGCTACACTGGTCGTCTTCTCCTGCATTTGGGATAGGGGGGTCAGATTATCTGCAAAGTCTAGATCGTCTAACTGCATCCTAGATGTCCACTGTATCCCGTGCTTCCCTTCAGATGTTGACGTCTTCATGATCTAGTCGATCACCAGGAGAAAGAGAAAGGGTGAGAGCAAGCAACCTTGCCTGAAACCAGTCTTTACTTCGAACGTTTTTGTCAACTTTCCTCCGTGCACAATTTTGCAGTTTAATCCATCATATGAATTCTGTATGATATTGACTATCTTCTGAGGCACGCCGTAGTGTCGAAGAAGTTTCCATAGTGTTGTTCTGTCCATGCTGTCAAATGCTTTTTCGTAGTCAATGAAGTTGATGTAAAGTGATGAATTCTATTCAATTGATTGTTCCACAATGATTCGTAGAGTTGCGATTTGGTCTGTACACGATCTATCCTTACGGAATCCTGCCTGTTGGTCACGAAGTTGGGCGTCTACGCAGTCCTTCATCCTGTTTAACAATACCCTGTTGAAGACTTTTCCCGGTATTGAGAGAAGAGTGATGCTGAGATCGATTTTCTTCGGTATTTTGATCAGAAGTCCTTCTTTCCAGTCTTTTGGTACTTGTTCCTCATCCCAAATCTTATTGAAGAGAATGTGGAGTATCCTTGCAGTTGCCGTTACGTCTGCTTTTAATGCCTCTGCTGGAATGTTGTCTGGTCCTGCTGCTTTGCCACTCTTGATTTGCCTGATGGCCATGCTGATTTCTTCAATGGTTGGTGGGTCAACATTGACTGGGAGGTCCGTGGGTGCTGCTTCGATGTTCGGTGGGTTCAGTGGAGCTGGTCGACTCAAGAGTTCTTTGAAGTGTTCTACCCACCTGTTTTGTTGCTCTTCAATGTTGGTGGTTACCTCGCCTTCCTTGCTTTTCACTGGTCGTTCTGGTTTGCGGCGATTTCCAGAGAGTTTCTTTGTCGTGTCATACAGTTGTCTCATGTTTCCTTCTCTTGCAGCATTTTCCGCCGTCATTATATGTGTATAAACGAGATAAACATGTCTATGGATTCACTCGAAAAGGATGGTAGTACCTTATGATAAGGCATAGAAAATTAGCAAATAGCTTCACTGTAGGAAGCCAACTGTAAGCCATATATTATCCAACGTCACAAGTTGTTCATGTTCGTTTCTGACGATAACTGAGGATACAATCGAACCACTTTGGCGTATAAAGATGACAAATTCAGACTGAATAATTCTATCCTAGTAATGGAAACACTTCTTACAAAAGAAATTGATTAACAGAAAACTAGCGTTTATAAAAATTCAGCTCTGAAGTGAAATAAGTAGACATATTGTAACCAAGGCAATTAGTAATAATAATGACAATTTGTTTATTGACACCTTCACAGTGATAATATAGTTTGAACAATCTTAAAAGGTTAACTCACA